ACCAGATCGGGCAAACACATTTTCTGAGGCTTTCCGATTGAACCACAAACCTGTGATGGTGTTTTGGAATGTATCATTGATTGAACTGGACGGAAAGCAAAACAGTCATCAGTCACGAAAGGTTGCCTTTTTACGATGACTAGTAATTGATTGTAACAGGCAAACTTCTCTCATTTTAATTCCCAGAATATACCAGTGGCATACGCAGTTAGGCGAACAGGCTAATTTTCGGTGGCTCATCAACTGGCTAATAGGTTACATTTTAAAAAACATCATTTTGTTTAGAAAAAAGCGCGGGGGGGTATTAATGAATGTACAAATGGGGATTTTTGTTGTTCTTGTTTTCTGTCGCTTGGTCCGTGCTACTTGTTATTTAGGGTGGGATTGGAAGGGAGAGAAGGAGGTGGACGAAAGGTGGAGGGCCATGGTAGGTTGAGTGATTTTACAAATTGTTTTTAGGGCGCACAAGCGCGGGGGGGGGATCACGTAAACGAATTTCAACCGCCTCTGCGGTGACTAGGATGCAGTTTTAAATCGACTTTGGTCTGCAACCCCGAACAAAGTAGAGAGGTCGAAATGCTTCAGTCACACTCAATGTGTGATCGGACTCGACGAGGTGTTAACCTCACCAGTGTTCGACCTGACCGGATGATATTCCCTAACTAGTTTCGTCGCACATGTTACACCCAGAATCTAAAGCTGATTTACGGTGAATTGCATGTTTCACCGTATTGTACCATTGTAAAAATACTTTCGGTCATTATTATAGTCCAATAAAAACGTGTACTATGGAATATATACATATAAATGGTGATATTATATATATATCACCGGCTGGCGAACAAGTATATTGCCAATGTAATGAGAATAATGGCTAAGTGGCTAGGTCACCAATTTGTGACCCGGTTCAAACCGCTACACCACCGCCCGTCTTCCTTATTTCGGTATTTTCCCAGGCAGCCTTCGTATGACCGCAGCCCCCTTCCTGAATGTTGACTCTACATTTGTAGCTTGAATAAATTGAAAAAGAAATAAAAAGTCATCAAAAACATATGTTGAAGGGATTGTGGTTCAGAACAAAACTGAAAACAATGGAAATCGAATAAGTGAACAAGAATAACAATGTTTTTTGTTTCTTTTGCGGTACACCTTGTTGATAGTTCTGCATTTGTCATTTATTGTGGGGTATTGGATTTATTTAGTACAACACATTGAAAAAAATTACAACGCGCTACCATCATTTGTACAATATTGACTTCCTTCAACGCCTAATTATCCCATGGTATTTGGGTTTTGATTTGTCTGGAGAGAGAAGGGATGCACAAATAAACAACTTGGGGTTAGAAAACTGTAAAAGTCTCTTAGTTTCAAAAAAATGTAAAAATGAAATCTCGTACAATACAAAACTTTGCCCATGAGTGATATATGTGTTCAAATAGAAAACTGTACAAAAAAGCTTTATCCAATTAGAAGTGAATATCATTTTGGGGGAGTATTTGAGATCTTGTTGCTGATATTTTGCTTCTTTCTGTTTCCATACCTGTAGACTGCCGTGCAATACGTGACGCGGAGCGAAAGACCGCTTTGACACTCACCTTGGATGGTCTCACTTTGTCTTCGTTTGGCGAGTTAAATAACACAATCCCTTGTGTGGAAGATATCACCGCGCAGCGCGACGATCTCACACAGGAGGACATACCGAAACTCAAACGACATACCAGTCCGGTGTCACACAGTTTCGTCCGGATTCCATCGAACAGTCGCCGCAAAGAGAAATTCGAGGATTCCGGCCCGCGGACCTCACTCAATGGACCGGACACTAAAAGTGTGCCTCCAGTTACAACCACATCCACATATCCGATAAACTCATGGACTCAGTCCGGATCTACTCGTGGAATGAAACATGCCGAATTTTACGATCGTCGAGGTTTGTCTTGTGCTCATTTCAACGGTTTATCTTGCTGCTTCATTTCCCGATGGACCATACTTCTAGGCTATTGTAATCCTGAAAACCATAACAGTTTTATTATTCAAAGTCAGACAGATTTGATGAGAGAGAGATCCGTAAAAAATCTTCTGATAACTTTTCATTGTTCGCAAAATTTTTCATTGTGTGTCTACTGTTAGAGACGTTTCAAATGTTCCCCTGACCAGGATCACCAATGTAACACGTGAACGTAACAAGGGCATGCTTATTAGAAGAAATCTTCATAGGTAAGGGTAATCTTGTTATCTGTTATCAAAAATATTGCTCGGCCAACCAGATTGTGCGAAGTCCTCACCGTCTGTTTGGGTTTTCGAAAACCAAGAGAGCAGAAAACAGTCTACTGAACGATGCTAAATTGAAGAAGAAATAATAATTGTTGCTTCTAATGGTGATACAGACCCGTTACTCCGGTGTATGGTTGTTATGTGACGTCATGATATTACATATCACTGAAAACCCAATTCAACAGGACTAATTCCAACTGATCCATATAAGACGTGTACGATATTGGCTGCCTTAACGAGCGATCTCCGTATGAGCAAAGCTGGCGTCTAGGGAAATAGATTTTGTCATATCATGTTAACATCAGACCATTTGATAACGATTTTTTTTATTCTACCAAAGTGAATACAGTAAAAGTGGTTAACCCTATATACTGTACAGGTCGATGGTAAAGTGAACATTCAAAATAGAATCGGCTTCTTGACTGTGCGTTTAAAGACAAAGATGTTGTAGGCTGAATGGAGAGTGTTCCACAGTTGGGTTCCACTTGGGAGAACAGTGGACTGCAAGTGAAAACTAAAATAGCCACCTGGAATGAGTAACTAGAAGGTTGTGTACAGAACCCAGGAGGAAACAGAAAGTAAGAGAGACAGAAGCGAAAAAGTCGATTGAACAAAACCAGTCTCGAGAGGACAGCGATCAGGAAGCCAGTGAATGAGTTTGTGGCTGTGAATTACATGTTAGTGATCATTTGGTGATGAGGAAAATGGTCATTTGTTGAACCCAAGAGGAAAGAGATGAAGAGCTCTGTAAAGTGGGGAGAGATGGTCGGTGTAAAGAAACGTCTGGCGAGGAAGTGGGAGCCAAATGGTTGAGTAGCTCCAGAGGCAAGTATATAGGCATCCCGCAAACATAAAATCGAAGAGGATAAGAATAGTCCAAATAGGTTGCATAAATCTGTGAAACGGAGAACGTTTGAGTCAAAATTTAAGGTGGGTCAAAAGGATTCACGCCTAAGACAAATCGATCAAATAGAGATTTTTTCGGCAATAAATACAGTAAAGTTACGACAGCGCCAAGTAGAATCGAAATTTAGATTTCTGATAGATATTGAAGGAGGAGAAATCCCTTCTAATGCTAAAGTTATCGATGCATGAGAGACCGAGAGGAGTGTAGAATGGCGTCATCGATCAACGTATGAATAGGATTGATAGCTGAAAGAAGGTCATCCGTTAACACCGAACTGAGTGAGGAGAAAGTACAGAAACTTGGAGGACACG